TGGGTGTTGTATGGAAACCAATTTGACAATAAATTTCATAGATTGAAAATAAAATAAAATAAAATATTTAAAAAAAAATAATGTGACATGAGATGATTAAAAAAAAAAAAAAAAAAGCTATTGAGTGTTGGGACGCCTGAGCGGCTCTGGTCGGTTGAGCGTCTGACTTCAGCTCTGGTCATGATCTCACAGTTCATGAGTTCGAGCCCCACATCGGGATCTGTGCTGACAGCTCAGAACCTGGAGCCTGCTTTGGTTTCTGTGTCTCCCTTTCTCTCTCTGCCCCTCCCCCACTCACACGCATGCTCTCTCTCTCTCTCAAAAATAAATAAAACATTAAAAAAAAAAAGCTGGGGCGCCTGGGTGGCGCAGTCGGTTAAGCGTCAGACTTCAGCCAGGTCACGATCTCGCGGTCCGTGAGTTCGAGCCCCGCGTCGGGCTCTGGGCTGATGGCTCGGAACCTGGAGCCTGTTTCCGATTCTGTGTCTCCCTCTCTCTCTGCCCCTCCCCCGTTCATGCTCTGTCTCTCTCTGTCCCAAAAATAAATAAATGTTGAAAAAAAAATTTTTTTTAAATAAAAAATAAAAAAATAAAAATAAAAAAAGCTATTGAGTGTTGCCGATCCTGGTTCCTTCCCCCCTCAAAATACAGCTATAAAAGACATTCTAGAACAATTAAGGAAGACTGAATGTGAAATATATATTATTTATATGTATAAATATATTGATTAATATATTAAATATATTTACGAAATAAATATATTTCTTCCTTGTTACAGAATAAATAACGGTTTGTGGATAAAATTATTGATATTCATTTATGGATAATTACTACTTGGTGGTTATGTTGGAGAATGTCTTTATTATTAGAAAATTCATGCTCAGGTATTTAGGAATGAGGTGTCATGATGCCTACAACTTGATTTCAAATGCTTCAACAAATATAGATGCCACGGGCTGAATGTGGAGTCCTCCCCAAATTCATACGCTGACATATAATCCCCTTCTACCATTTGAGGACACTGTTAAGAAGACTGCAACTATGAATAGGGTGTGGGTTCTCACCAGACACAGAATCTGCAGGTGTCTTCATCCTGGACTTCCCAGACTTCAGAACTGTGAGAACTAAATCTTTGTTGTTTACAAGCCACCTAACCTCCAGCATTTTTTGTTCTAACCGCCTAAATAAACTAAGACAACAGATAAGGGGAAAGAGAACGCAAAATAGCAAAATGTTAACAATTATTCCATCTATGTGGAGGGTACACCACTATTCAGTTATTCTTTTCCTGTTTCTGTATGTTTGAAAATAATCATAATGGAAAGTGGAAGAGGGAGAAAAAGTCAACTCCACTTCCACAAAAAGTCAGATATTGAGTATCTTTTTTAAAAAAGTATTATATGTTAAGGAACAATTACCTAATAAGATAATCAAGAAAGGATATATTCTTGTTTTTGTTCTGCAAAACTTAGCATAAACTGTGTTTTCCTTCAATGTTGTGTACAAGAATAGGCTGAAGAAAAAATGCCTATTATTTGAACCAGAAGCCATGCTAAGAATTCTACTTTGGATTGAAAGAATTTAATATTGCCAATATTTTTTTAATGGTACAAGATGAATGTGGTCATTATGTAAAGTATTTTAAAACTAATATTTAAATTTTTTTAACTTTGAAACAATTTCAAACTTACAGAAAAATTGCAAATATATTACAATAACCTTTTCCCTGAGCCATTTGAAAGTAAACTGTCAACAGTGTGCCCTATCAACTCTGAATATTTAGGTGAATATTTCTTGTATACAAGGACATTCTCCCAAGCCATCATAATATGACCAACAAAATTGGGAAATTAACATCATATTACTACATTCTAATTCTCACATCACACTAAAGTTCAACCAATTGTCCCAGTAAGATCCTTCATAGTAAGAGAATATAGCCCCAAATCACATGTTATCATCTGTTGCCATATCTCCTTCAATGTGCAATATTAAATGCCCCTTGCACAGGCTCCCTCCTCATCCATCCCACCCTAACCCCCTTGCCCAGCCATCATGGTCCCTGCATTCTGCATACACCCCTTTCCTACTCTGCTCAGGTTGTATAACCCCTCACAGTGCCACCCCCACTAAATTATTTAAATTTTTTGAAAAGGTGGAAAAAATGAAAATAATCTGATAAAGAAAGATCCTAAGGTTGGGCTAGGTGAATCACTATTCAGATTTTAGGCCAATTTTAAAAGGGTGACATTGTTTTTAAATAGAGATTTCGAAGTTGAGGAGATAAAGAGGAAACAGCAAAGACTGAGAAGGAGTGACCAATGAGGTAGATAGAGAACCTCACCCTGAAGTAAAATAAAGTATCTCAAGGAGGATGAAAAAAATCAGAGATGTCAACCATTGCTAACAGGTCAAGTAGGATGAAAAAATCAGAGATGTCAACCATTGCTAACAGGTCAAGTAGGATGAGAACTGAGAATAGTTCTATATCGCTCTATATTTATCAATCTGGAGATCATTCGTTGACCTTGACAAGAACAATTTTGGTGGAGAGCAGATTCAAGAGAAAAGGAAAGGTTGTAGAAGGCAATATGTATAAACAACTACTTGGAAGAACTTTGCTCTAAATGAGGCAGTGAAATAGGACAGAGCTGGAGGGGAGATTTAGGGTCAAAGGAGAGTTTATTCTTCTGCTTTGTCTTTAAATTTTTGTGTTTTTTTTATAAGATGGGAACAATAACAGCATATTTGAATACACATGGGAATGACCCAACAGACAGGTAAAATTTGTGGTTCAAGAGAGGCAGGGAGAGCTTCGGGAGTGAAGACCTTGAATAGATGGTGGGGTAGGCTCTACTATGTAAGTGGATGGGCTGGACTACAACGGGAACATGGACTGTTCATCCTTAGTATTGCGAAAGAATATATGGCACAGGTGCAGGTAAGTGAATAGATGTGACAAGATGAGTCTGTGCAAGTTCTCTTGTGACTGCTTCCCAGCAGCCCCTGACAGCCAGAAGATGGCCTGGTGCTCAGAGCAGAGGCCACAGTGGTCTGTTGAACATGAAAAACTACACATGTCACTGGTGTTTTTTAAAAGCCACTTTGCAAGCATGATAGAGCAAGGTCAAAGGAAGTCCACTCCATAATCAGGTGTAAGCAGACAAAAATGGGGACATGGTTCAAACCACAAAAATGGCCAAATATCCCCTTATGCTGGCTAATGTGAGTAACTGCTGCTTCTTTCTCATTCACGACTTTCACTGCACTTTGTTCCTCCCACCTTCTACATAAGATTTATTAAGATACTCAACCATTACAATTACTACAGCTTTTGTCAACATATAATCCTGGGGAAAGCCCCACTTCTTAACTCATCCTCCCAGAATCACCAAAAACAGAAACCCAAATCCTATAGTAAATCCTCTCTAACACCGTTTGACTGAGATGTCCTCATGATTCTCTATGGTGTACTTTCGCCTTTGTTGCAATGAGTCAGTAAACCCCACATTGCGGTCTTTGGCTGAAGGGCATTGCTATTTCGCAGTGAACTAGAACACAAGGCTGAAAGTGATTTATGGAGGACAAGTTGTTGGAAGTTTGAGGAAAGGAAAAATTATGAGATACTTGGGACCATAGGAAAATAAATGGAATAACATATTAAGAAAACAGTAGGATTGCCATAATACCAATGCCAAGCTGAGATTTGTGGCCATGTATTTAAAGTGAGATCACCCTGGGGTGCCTGGCTAGCTCAGTCAGTAGAGCGTGCAACTCTTTTTCTGGATCAATTTTTTTTAATTTACATTCTACTTAGTCAATATAGTATAATATTGGTTTTAGGAGTAGAATTTAATGATTCATTACTTATATAACACCCAGTGCTCATCACAACAAGTGCCCTCCTTAATGCCCATCACCCATTTTAGCTCATTCCCCCCACTCACCTCCCCTCAGCAACCTTCAGTTTGTTCTCTATAGTTAAGAGTTTCTTGGGCGCCTGGGTTAAGTGTCC